CCCTTTTTTTTTTTCTTCCCCAACGGAGCGTGACGTATATTACAAAACTCATGAAGGAAATTTAAAAAAAAAAAAAAAAAAAACAAAACACTAATGCAATTATATTGTAAGAGTTAGTGCTGGGTTCAAACAATCAAACAATCAATCATTGTGTCATGACACATAATTCTATTTATCGCCGGTCTCTCAGCAACACGAAAATTAATGTCCTCACCAGCTCTCCACAGCACCCCACCTCTACCCCACCTTGTCGCATGAACATGCTAAATATGTTTGCTAACATACTAAATATAGACGGGAACCAAGGCAAAAATAGCAAGCAAGCATGAAGACTGTCGCACCGTGCCAACATGGTGCTAAACGGTGCAACGGAGGGTAATACGGAAGTGGCGGAAATCTATTAATAGAACACCCGGACATACAGTTGGGCCAATGTCATAAAATGGCGGAAAGATATAAATAACACATCTGGGTCATCCGTTTGGCCAATCTCACTACAGCTGTTCGGTACTTCTATGTTAATGTGAGCCAGCATTGTGTGTCTTAACCTAGAAGAAAACTTGTTTAAAACTTTATTTAACGCGAGATTTTACAAAGTAATTGTTAACGCTGTCAAAATGCGGAAATACGTTGTTAACAGCCACGTTCTACGAAAACCTCAGTACGAAAGACAGTAACATTACGTCATGCATGTGACGTTTTCTGGTCTTAGAAATGACAAAGCCTGTATATAGAAGACAAAATAATATTCTATATTAAAAGGAAAATAAAAACGAATAAGTATTTAGAGGGCAGAAATTAAAGTTTCTTCTGTGCCCTGTTACAGATTTTAAATTTGCACCCCAACCCTGATACAATTTTGAGATGCACCGCGGGCTGTTGACACACGATAATACACTGGCTCACCTGTTCTATAGATAGCTTGAGGACAGAGGTCATGTACATGGGCATGTAGGAGAAAGTCACGTTCATTGCCCATATATGGCAAGCTGATGCCATGACGTAGGCGAACACCGGAACTGACGTGAATATTTTTTTGTACGGTGTTTTGACTGGCTTCTGTGGAAAAAATGAAACAGCCCTTCAATGTATCTCATCCGCTAACAATGTAAAGACACATTTTCAATAAATATTACTCACTAACAAAATAATAAATTTTAAGATTGATTTTAAATCAGTATATTACATCAATTTCACAACACACACGGCTGCAATGGTCTCTTGATACAGATACAGTTCATTTAATCAAATCAATTATCCATCACAGATCAACTTTAAATTGTTTTTTTCATTTAAAAAAAAGGTCTACAATGACACATTGCATATAAAACGAAAGCTCTCCGCTGTCTGGCAATGTCTATATTGTACGGGCTAAAACTATAAAACCCAAGGCCAGGTTACGCTTGGGGATACGACAAAACAACGTAAAGTGGGTATCGACCAAAAGCCGCCTTCAGCAAACAGAAAAGGTAAAATAGTTCATGTATGTCCTATGTATAAGAGAAAGGATCAAGGTATTTCATAGAAATATGACGTCATGTCGAACGTTAGCCAGGAAATGATTTAGTTCACATCTCCTGGTTACCTCACGACTTTGACATCGACTTTTTGTGTGATGATTCTCTTTCCTGTACCGTGTATTTGTTATATCTTTAATGTATAGACAGAACACAGTCATCTGATCCATTAGACTAATGACAGTCATCTGATCCATTAGACTGGTCTCAGTAATCTAAGCCAATAGACTGATGACAGTTATCTCATCCATTATACTGATGACAGCTGTCACATCCATTATACTGATGACAGTCATCTCATCAATTAGACTGATGACAGTCATCTGATCGATTAGGCTAATGACAATTATCTCATCCATTAGACTGATGACAGTTATTTGATCCATTGGACTGATGACAGTTATCTCATCCATTATACTGATGACAGCTGTCTCATCCATTAGATTGATGACAGTTATCTGATCGATTAGACTACTGACAGTTATTTCATCATTTAGACTGATGACAGTTATCTCATCATTTAGCCTGATGACAGTTATCTGATCATTTAGCCTGATGACAGTTATCTTATCATTTAGATTGATGCCAGTTATCTCATCATTTAGCCTGATAACAGTTATCTCATCACTTAGACTGATGACAGTTATCTCATCATTTAGACTAATGACAGTTATCTCATCCTTTAGACTGATGAAAGTTATCTCATCATTTAGACTGATGACAGTTATCTGATCCATTAGACTAATGACAGTTATCTCATAATTTAGACTGATGATAGTTATCTCATCATTTAGACTGATAACAGTTATCTCATCATTTAGACTTTAGACTAATGACAGTTATCTCATCATTTAGATTGATGACAGTTATCTCATCATTTAGACTGATGACAGTTATCTCATCATTTAGACTGATGACAGTTATCTCATCCCTTTTTATCCACATTTATATTCTAGTATTTTTCCACCGTCAAAAATGTTAAACAATGCGACGATCAACAGCTTTCATACAGAAAATATGGAAAAATTTAGATCTTTCATATATACAGGGATACTGCACTGATGTTAAGATCCTAACGTGTATATTTTAATATATTAGATAAGACAGACATCCACTGATTAGAGAAAAATCCACTGATTAGACAGACATCCAATTTAAATTTCCAGATGTTTGAATTAAGGAAGGCTTTTAAATTTTTTGACTGACATACTCACCACTGCCATCTTCTCTTTCCCACCTTTTACTGACATACTCACCCTCCCATCTTGTCTTTCCCATCTTTTACTGACATACTCACCCCTCCCATCTTGTCTTTCCCACCTTTTACTGACATACTCACCCTCCCAACTTGTCTTTCCCACCTTTTACTGACATACTCACCCCTCCCATCTTGTCTTTCCCACCTTTTACTGACATACTCACCCCTCCCATCTTGTCTTTCCCACCTTTGACTGACATACTCACCCTCCCATCTTGTCTTTCCATCCTTTTACTGACATACTCACCCTCCCATCTTGTCTTTCCCACCTTTTACTGACATACTCACCCTCCCATCTTGTCTTTCCCACCTTTTACTGACATACTCACCCTCCCATCTTGTCTTTTCCACCTTTTATTGACATACTCACCCCTCCCATCTTGTCTTTCCCACCTTTTACTGACATACTCACCCTCCCATCTTGTCTTTCCCACCTTTTACTGACATACTCACCCTCCCATCTTGTCTTTCCCTCCTTTTACTGACATACTCACCCTCCCATCTTCACTTTCCCACCTTTTACTGACATACTCACCCTCCCCTCTTGGCTTTTCCACCTTTTATTGACATACTCACCCCTCCCATCTTGTCTTTCCCACCTTTTACTGACATACTCACCCTCCCATCTTGTCTTTCCCACCTTTGACTGACATACTCACCCTCCCATCTTGTCTTTCCATCCTTTTACTGACATACTCACCCTCCCATCTTCTCTTTCCCACCTTTTACTGACATACTCACCCTCCCATCTTCTCTTTCCCACCTTTGACTGACATACTCACCCTCCCATCTTCTCTTTCCCACCTTTTACTGACATACTCACCCTACCATCTTCTCTTTCCCACCTTTGACTGACATACTCACCCTCCCATCTTCTCTTTCCCACCTTTTACTGACATACTCACCCTCCCATCTTGTCTTTCCCACCTTTTACTGACATACTCACCCTCCCATCTTGTCTTTCCCACCTTTTACTGACATACTCACCCCTCCCATCTTGTCTTTCCCACCTTTTACTGACATACTCACCCCTCCCATCTTGTCTTTCCCACCTTTTACTGACATACTCACCCCTCCCATCTTGTCTTTCCCACCTTTGACTGCCATACTCACCCCTCCCTTCTTGTCCCCCGTGCCCATCCCCAGTCGCTTGGTCATGATGTACGTCTTCTCCTTCTCCGTGATGTAAGGGTGGAGCTCGGGCTTCTCAGCGCTAAGGAAATGCCAGGCCACGACCCACACGAGACTCAGGCCCCCTGGTGGCGTGGGCGTCAGTAATGTGGATAAGGGTGGGATGCAAATTGTGGGGAGGGGGAAGGGGCAACAGTAACATTGAAGTTTCAAATTGAAATCACAAGTGACGTATGAAAGGAAATGTATTCTGTCGTCATGTATGTGATAACAGTACTACATAATGAGAGTACTTTGTGATGGCATTACTGTTTAATAACAGTACTATTTAATGACATTACTATGTGATTACAGTAGTATGTGACGGCAGTACTGTATGATAAAAGTGCTATATGATAAAAGTACTATGTGATGGTGTCAAGGGTGTATGAGTTATAAAGAAGTCCGTTAGTGAACATCTACTATTCATGGACTTGTTTTGAGTGATTGGTGTTCGATAATTATTGTCCACCTGTACACACCAGTGCATACTGACGAACGGCAAGGCGTTGACTACAACAACAGAACATCCTAACAATTAGAGTAATACCTAGACGTAACAGATGGCAATGCTGTGAATTGACAGTGCTATGTGATAAGAGAACAGATGGCACTGCTGTGAATTGACAGTGCTATTTGATAAGAGAACAGATGGCACTGCTGTGAATTGACAGAGCTATGTGATAAGAGAACAGATGGCACTGCTGTGAATAGACAGTGCTATGTGATAAGAGAAAAGATGGCAATGCTGTTAATTGACAGTGCTATGTGATAAGAGAACAGATGGCACTGCTGTGAATTGACAGTGCTATGTGATAAGAGAACAGATGGCACTGCTGTGAATTGACAGTGCTATGTGATAAGAGAACAGATGGCACTGCTGTGAATTGACAGTGCTATATGATAAGAGAACAGATGGCACTGTTGTAAATTGACAGTGCTATGTGATAAGAGAACAGTGTGATGACAGTACCAAGTGGACGAAACTAGAAACCAGGCAAAACTGTTTAGTCATAATGTTGGCTTGCATAACGTTAGTAACCTGGTTAAACTGAACTTGACTAATATACAATAAGTTGGCTAACCTCATTAACTTAACCAACCGAAATGTCCCGACTAACCTCATCAATCCAATGACTAACCTTTCATCCCATAAATCCTGAAAATCTGACAGGCGCCTTGACTTACTTACTCACAACTAATGATAGAACGTTGGACTAACTTAGTAACAACTAGCATATATTACACTTGACTAACTTAGTCTCAACTAGCATATGGTAGGCTTGATTAACTTTGTTACAACTAATTTTTGTAGGTTTGACTAACTTAGTCACAACTAACATATAGTAAGGTTGACTAACTTATGCTCAACTTACCTTTTGTTGCCTTTAATTACATAGTCATAAATAATTATAGTAGGTTTGACTAACTTACTCACGGCTAACGTATATTAGGCTTGACTAGCTTAGTCTCAACTAATTATAGTAAGCTTGACTAGTTTAGTCAAAAGTGACCTATAGTAGGCTTGACTAGTTTAGTCACAAGTGACCTATAGAAGACTTGACTAACTTACTCCAAACCGATCTATATTAGACTTGACTAACTTAGTATCAACCAACCTATATTAGACTTGACTAACTTAGTATCAACCAACCTATATTAGACTTGACTAACTAAGTATCAACCAACCTATATTAGACTTGACTAACTTTGTATCAACCAACCTATATTAGACTTGACTAACTTAGTATCAACCAACCTATATTAGACTTGACTAACTAAGTATCAACCAACCTATATTAGACTTGACTAACTTAGTATCAACCAACCTATATTAGACTTGACTAACTTAGTATCAACCAACCTATATTAGACTTGACTAACTTAGTATCAACCAACCTATATTAGACTTGACTAACTTAGTATCAACCAACCTATATTAGACTTGACTAACTTAGTATCAACCAACCTATATTAGACTTGACTAACTTAGTATCAACCAACCTATATTAGACTTGACTAACTTAGTATCAACCAACCTATATTAGACTTGACTAACTTAGTATCAACCAACCTATATTAGACTTGACTAACTTAGTATCAACCAACCTATATTAGACTTGACTAACTTAGTATCAACCAACCTATATTAGACTTGACTAACTTAGTATCAACCAACCTATATTAGACTTGACTAACTTAGTATCAACCAACCTATATTAGACTTGACTAACTTAGTATCAACCAACCTATATTAGACTTGACTAACTTAGTATCAACCAACCTATATTAGACTTGACTAACTTAGTATCAACCAACCTATATTAGACTTGACTAACTTAGTATCAACCAACCTATATTAGACTTGACTAACTTAGTATCAACCAACCTATATTAGACTTGACTAACTTAGTATCAACCAACCTATATTAGACTTGACTAACTTAGTATCAACCAACCTATATTAGACTTGACTAACTTAGTATCAACCAACCTATATTAGACTTGACTAACTTAGTATCAACCAACCTATATTAGACTTGACTAACTTAGTATCAACCAACCTATACTAGACTTGACTAACTTAGTATCAACCAACCTATACTAGACTTAAATAAATTCTTAGTATCAACCAACCTATACTAGACTTGACTAACTTAGTATCAACCAACCTATATTAGACTTGACTTACTTAGTATCAACCAACCTATATTAGACTTGACTAACTTAGTATCAACCAACCTATATTAGACTTGACTAACTTAGTATCAACCAACCTATACTAGACTTGACTAACTTTGTATAAACCAACCTATATTAGACTTGACTAACTTAGTATTAACCAACCTATATTAGACTTGACTAACTTAGTATCAACCAACCTATACTAGACTTGACTAACATTGTATAAACCAACCTATATTAGACTTGACTAACTTAGTATTAACCAACCTATATTAGACTTGACTAACTTAGACACAACCAGCCTATATTAGACTTGACTAACTTATTAGTCTTGACTAACTTAGTCACAACCAACCTATAAAAGTATTGACTAACATATTCCTGACTATCGTACATTTGAATCAACTGACCACTGTCCAGCCTACCTGTGACGTAGAATATAAACGGCCATCCGTTGTCCAGGGGAATAGCACACAGGAATCCTGAGATCAGTGATGACACTATACCACCAACGTTGACACCTGGTGTGGGGGGGGAGGGGTGAGAAGGGTGAGACTAGTAGGTGACATGGTGGCTAGCACAAATAATAGGTGACGTGGTGGTTAGCAGAATGAATAGGTGATGTGGTTGCTAGCACAAATAATAGGTGCCGTGGTGGCTAGCAGAATTAATAGGTGATGTGGTGACTAGCAGAATGAATAGGTGATGTGGTGGCGAGAACAATAAATAGGTGATGTGGTGGCGAGCACAATAAATAGGTGATGTGGTGGCGAGCACAATAAATAGGTGATGTGGTGGCTAGCAGAATTAGTTATTTTTTTTGTATTGTCCACCTCATCACCTTTGTCTCTCTTTTCTCTCTCTCTCTCACTCTTTGACTCTGTCTGTCTTCGTCCCCTACCCCCTTTTCTGTTTTTCTCTCTTCCCCGTCTCTCTCTCTCTCCCTCTCTCTTTGTCTCTGTTTTCTCTCTTCCCCCGTCTCTCTCTCTCTCTCTCTCTCTCTCTCTTTGTCTCTGTCTTTCTCTCTTTCCCCTCCATATCTTTCTCTTTCTTTATGGCTATCTTTATCTCTTTCCCACATCTCAGTTTCTCTTTCTGTCTGACTTTCTCTAGTCATCCTCCCTGTTTGTCTTTTTCTCCCTTATCCCAATCTCTCCGTTTTTTTGTCTCTGCCTGTCTTTCTCACTCCCCCTTCATTCTCTATCTACCTGTCTCACTTTCTCTCTTTATCCCTCCCTATTTCACTCTATTTCTCTCTCTTTGCTTTATCTCCTTCATCTCTGAGCATGATACTAGATCTCTCAAGACTTGTCTGAGCTTGACACTATATCTCTCATCAAGACTTGTCCGAGGATGATACTAGATCTCTCATCAAAACTTGTCCGAGCATGATACTAAACCTCTCATCAAGACTTGTCTGATCATGATACTAGATCTCTCATCAGAGACTTGTCCGAGCATGATACTAAACCTCTCATCAAGACTTGTCTGAGCATGATACTAGATCTCTCATCAGAGACTTGTCCGAGCATGATACTAGACCTCTCATCAAGACTTGTCTGAGCATGATACTAGACCTCTGATCAAGACTCTTAAACACACGAGCCTTGATTTTCCCCGGCAACATTCGTCCTTTTACCTGCAAACGAGCACGCCACCCAGGTGAGTTTCTCAGAGTCGGGCGTCCACCAGGCGAGGGCCTCACCCACCATTGGGACATTACCCCCCTGTGGAAGAAAGGCAAAACGTCTTTAATTATTGTGAAATATGTTTAGAGAGTATTTGGTTTACATTTAATTTACCCCTCTCCCCCCTTTGCTGTCCACAAAGACAACGTCACAATATAAGAGAAGAGGAAAGTGAAGTCTTCTATTTTAAGATCATTTTAAGTGTGTAACTTATTTAGGCCATGACAAGGAGAGGAAAGCGAGGCCACTACTGGGGCCACTACTGGGGCCACTACTGGAGCAACTACTGGAGCCCCTACTGGAGCCACTACTGGGGCCACTACGGGGACAACTACTGGAGCAACTACTGGGGTCACTACTGGGGCAACAACTGGGGCCACTACTGGGGCCACTACTGGGGTCACTACTGGGGCCACTACTAGGGTCACTACTGGGGCCACTACTGGGGCCACTACTGGGGCCACTACTAGGGTGTGATGACCCCGGTGATCTGGGGCCACTACTAGGGTCACTACTGGGGCCACTAATGGGGTCACTACTGGGGCCACTACTGGAGCAACTACTGGAGCCACTACTGGGGCCACTACGGGGGCAACTACTGGAGCAACTACTGGGGTCACTACTGGGGCAACAACTGGGGCCACTACTGGGGCCACTATTGGGGTCACTACTGGGGCAACAACTGGGGCCACTACTGGGGCCACTAATGGGGTTACTACAGGGGCCACTACTGGGGCCACTGGGCCTGGGTTATATAATAACCGGTGGCCTAATATTTACTTTAACTCTGAATCAATGAGCGAACAGAACTCTTATGACCTGTTAGAGGCGTTACGTCTACTTTCATTCATTTTTTCTAGAATTTGTGACACTTTGTGACGGGAGGGGGGGGGGGTCAAACTTTTTTGCGGTACCTTTTTTTTTTTTTATTTTTGAATTTTTTTTTTACATTAATACAGTCGTGAACACTTTTTGAGCACATTGAAAAATGACGCAGAAACTGATGTGACCAATTTACATTCGACTCGGGGATGACTTCGTTGTTTCGCGTCACAGACTTCAAATAATACAACATCCTGATTCATTATGGAAATATATATATATATATATATATATATATATAAATGGGCTATGCTAACTCCAAAGAACCGAAAGGATTTCAATACGTCTAGATTGTTAAAAACAGTCATAGTTATTTTCTATTATTTTACGGAAATCGAATAAATTCAAATGCGCAAAAATTATTATATATCCGTTTTTATTTTAGTAAACGCTAAAGTATTATTATTATTTATTACAAATACATGCAAAGTAAAAACTAAGGAAATATCTTAAGCATTTTATATGCGTTTTAATGTTATGAAAAAAAAAATTGAAAAAAAAAATCATGTTCAAAGAATTACACCGTAATCACATTTATCGGGAAAACCCAAACATCAGTTATTTTAGTGCGCGTTTTAGTGCGTTGTTAATATTGCGAAATAAAATTTAAATAAATTAATTTGTTCTAAATAAACACGCAAATGACGTCATAGAACGTATCGCATATTTTAGCCAAAACTCTTAAATTTCTTTGACTTTAAACCGCGAGTTAAAAAACTGATAATATACTTTCCCCTACTTAAAATTAAAATGAGTAAATATAATTGCTTGCTTTTTAAATTATTAATAAAACACATACGAATTTTAGCTTTGTACTTTTAACATTCAATGAGCTGTACTTTTAACAAATCCTAAAATATACTTTTATTAAATTTATAACGTAATAAAAACTTAACCTTTAAATATACTTCTAATAAGAAAAATTCCGTTTAAGTCAGTCAGTGCAGCGAAACACTATAATTAATTAGCATTCACTAATCCACTTTTAACTCATCCAAATCAGAACAAACCATATGAAGTGAAAAAAAAATATTAGTTTGGGTATGGAAAGGACTACAATCCGGTGGATAATGCTAATTAATTTTATTTCATTTTAGGCGGGGAAAGGGGGGGGGGGGGGAAATTGGTTATTTTGCCCCAGGCAGCGGAAGATAATAAAGAAATTAATTTGATTAATTAATTTTATTTCATTTTAGGCGGGGAAAGGGGGGGGGGTGGAAATTGGTTATTTTGCCCCAGGCAGCGCAAGATAATAAAGAAATTAATTTGATAAATAATTAACCTTCTTGGGTACATACATATCGGAGGTAGGAAACAAGATGTGTACAGTTTTTACGTGGATGACAATATATTTAAAACCTATGGTATTACATTTGTGAAAAAAAAGAGATGTTAAATTCTCTTTTGCAAATATGGGTATGTTCATTTTGCCCCAGGCAGCACAAGGTACGTCTCAAAATAAAGGAATGAATTTGATAAATAATTAAACATCTTGGGTACATACATATCGGAGGTAGAAAATAGGATGTGTACATTTTTACGTGTATGAAAATATATTTAAATCCTATGGTATAAGATTTGTGAAAAAGAGATGTTGCATTCTCTTTTTACAATTAAACATATTATATTTACCAGTTAACAAAATCAATTGCGTTAACAAAACGTGGGCACATTTATATAAGTATTCCCACGAATATCAAAACCCAATAATTTTATACACTTAAAAATTTAATTTTGAAAAATAGAGCTGGGTTAATATAAAATGAAAATATTTTTCTGTTTTTACTTTGCGAAAAGTAAAGTGGGCATATATGTATTTTTATGAGATTAACATTTTTGTTAAAAAAGACACTCAAGTCTGTTATAGACGTGAACAATGCTTGCGAGATTCTTCTTTAGAAACAAATTTTTTCCCCCGATGTCTTGATAATGTATAATTTAAAAACCTCTCCCCCAAAAAAAAAAAAAAACAAGGCAAAAGTTCGTTTAAATTTTTTATGAACGTATTAATATATGAAATTCCTTTAATATAAAATATATTAATATCAGATATTGAGTTTTTGGTTTAAGTTTATGTTTTCACAATTTTTAGAAAAAAAAAGTTTTAGTTCAAGGGCATGAAAAGAGGTAAATCTAAAGTAATTTTCTAGTGTAGAAATCGTCCCTCAATAAACTTCTTTAGTGACAGAAGTGATATAATGTGTGATAATTTAGAGCGGGTAATTTAAGGTAATGTTAAAGGGGCGAAAAAAAAGGAGTTTAGGGGCGTGAAAGGGAGTAGGGTAATGGCATAATATATATAGCAGATAAATACTTCTCAAAACTTAATGTTAAAAACGTAAATATCATGACATAGACATTTCTATTTAAATCTATGAATTGTGATGAGTTTTTGCAATAGCAGGTAGAAATTATATAAGAATACGTGCAATTATTGTCCCAATAACATCGGGACATTTATTCTAGTGTTAAAGGATCAAATAAAATCTTAGTTAATAAGCTATAAACATTTTATCGAGGTTTTGATCTTTTTTTAGGTGCAACGTGACACTTGGGGGGGGGGGGGGGGGAAGGGGGGATAAAAGATTTTGAGACGCGTGGTGGGAGGGGGGGGGGGGGGTCTATACAGGTCATTTTTCGTGTGACGTACTTTACGAACGACCCCCCCCCCCCCAGCACTTTCTAGAAAAGTCATTAAAACAGACTATAAATACGCATAGAGGAGATTGGTTTCGGAGAGATTTGCTATACGAGACAGAGATTTGTTGACTAATTTTTGACGTGTGCGTGAGCATGTTCCTTTTTTCAACATTGTACCCTTTTCAACATTGTACCCTTTTCAACATTGTACCCTTTTCAACATTGTGCCCTTTTCAACATTGTACCCTTTTTAACATTGTACCCTTTTCAACATTGTGCCCTTTTCAACATTGTACCCTTTTCAACATTGTACCCTTTTCAACATTGTACCCTTTTCAACATTGTACCCTTTTCAACATTGTACCCTTTTCAACATTGTGCCCTTTTCAACATTGTACCCTTTTCAACATTGTGCCCTTTTCAACATTGTGCCCTTTTCAACATTGTACCCTTTTCAACATTGTGCCCTTTTCAACATTGTACCCTTTTCAACATTGTACCCTTTTCAACATTGTACCTTTTTCAACATTGTACATTCTACAGCCATTGCAGCCTACCTGTACAAGTCATCACTTTACTGTAAGTCAATAGCTTTAGTTTTTATTTCATTTGATTTTGTAATTTATTATGAACTTAAAAAGTTATCAATTGCAATCAGCCCTAGTCCGGGTATCGTTTCTCCAGTATCGTATTAAATGCATTGCATCGTTTTTTTGTTGCTTACTGTTTTTCAACGAGCCATAGAGTCTATCGTATCCCGAAATTTGATCGAAAGAAATTTCGTCGACGGTAAATTGAACGACGGTAATTTGATCGAACGGAAATTGGTCGAAGCTTTTTTTCAGTTGTTACGTTTAAATTTTACGTCAAATTTCTTTTTTGAACGGATTATTTTGTTTTAGCATACAGTAGAGTGCGTTCAAAAAGAAATTTGACGAAAATTTTAGCGAGTGAACTGAAAAAATGTTTCCACCAAATTTTCGTTCGATCAAATTTCCGTCGATCAATTTACCGTGGACGAAATTTCTTTCGATCAAATTTCCGTTCACCAAAGTCTATAGTTAAATAAGAGATTCAATTCTTAAATTCTCTATACACATAACGGTAGGTAACATTACCAAAGTCAACAAAATACTCCACTTAGCAAAAATAAACAATAATTTAATTTGAATTTTCTTTGCAAAATATATTTTACAATTGTGTATGTTGTATTATTATCCTGCGGGGTGGGGGGAGGTGTGTACACCCGCCACAAGTAGCGTTTTCAGAGGGTGCCAAAATGCATAATTTACGCTTTGGTAAACGAGTAAATGAAAATACTATTTTTAGAAAGATATATTTATCTTTTACCAAAGTAAGTCCCGAGACGACTCTTACAGCCAACAGGAAGTATGGACTAACGCGCGCTGCCGCGGGGGATATGATGCTGAAGATGGCGCCGGTCAAGGTGAAGGCTGTCATGCAGTTCTTGCTGCCGATCAGATTCTTCACGATGTTGCTAAGGATTGGCCCCGTGAACGAGACGAACTGGATCCCCGTCAGGATGAGGCCCTGGAGTTCCGAGTCCCAGTCGAATTCATATTGCACAACCTGAGGAACAAGAAAGAGAATTACTCTCTAATGCAGTGCTTCCAAGACTTTAAAGGTTGGTTGAACTGTGGTCCGGTGCCAATTTTTATTGCATTTCCTTTTAATTTGACCCTATTTATATGTCAAGTAATTGTTTCCCTTGATCGTGTCGTTCAAAAGGGTTCAGTTAACGTCTATCACTAATGCCATCCGTTGAAAGCTGGCTTTGTTATGGTTGATTACAAAAAAATAATTTAGAAGCAGTTTAAAAAAAAAGTGTAGATATAAAATCAGTCTAATTAGACGAACTGGCAGACTAATTAGCAAGTGACTAACTGGCAGAATAATTAGCAAGTGGCTAACTGGCAGAATAATTAGCAAGCGACTAACTGGCAGACTTATTAGCAAGGGACTAACTGGTAAACAAATTAACAGTTCACTAACAGGCAGACAAATTAGCAATTGACTAACTGGCAGACTAATTAGCAAGTGACTAACTGGCAGACTTATTAGCAATTGACTAACTGGCAGAATAATTAGCAAGTGACCGACTGGCAGAATAATTAGCAAGTGACTAACTGGCAGACCTATTAGCAAGGGACTAACTGGTAAACAAATTAGCAGTTGACTAACTGGCAGACAAATTAGCAATTGACTAACTGGCAGACTAATTAGCAAGTGACTAACTGGCAGACTTATTAGCAAGGGACTAACTGGTAAACGAATTAGCAGTTGACTAACTGGCAGACAAATTAGCACTGACAGACTGAAAAGTTTACAGTTGACCAAATGACCGACTAGTAAGGAAATGACTGACAGACTATTAGCAATTAACTAACTGACAGACTAGTTATAAATGACTAACTAGTTAGCAACTGGGTAACTGGCAGAATGGTCTAACCTCTACTCCCGTGTCATTCTGTGAGATTAGCGTTGGTCTGTCGTCATGGGAACTATTTGAGAAGGTGACATTGCCGCTCCCCCTGCTGGCCTTGTAAGGGTCCACCATACACACCAGGGCCATGGGGAGGGTGTTTCTGGGCAAGACGTTGATGATGAAAGACGTGTGGAGGAGGACAACGATGGCGCCCCTCCAAGAAAACGCCTTCTGTAGGAAACTTGGGGCTGCGTCACTGCCAGCGACGTTGCTGGAAAGTTGGTGTTTATTATTGTTGTTGACGTCACTTCTGGTGCCATTTTCTCCAGCGTGAGCGTCAGACGAACGGCCATTTTCTTGACCTGAATGTGTCACGTGGTGTCTCCCGTCCTGCCCATCTTGTTCATTTTGAGTGCTGTAACTTTCAGGCGATTCAAGCTGCTGATTCTCTGAAGCTAGTCTTGCAGCTGAAATTACAGAATAGAAAGAATATGTATATTTGAACATGGATATAGCTATTTCAGTGCCTCTGTCTCTCCTTCTTACCGTACCCCTCTGTCTCTCCTTCTAACCGTACCCACTGTCACTCTTTGATTCCCTCTTTTTCAGTTTCTCTAAATCTCCAAATCTCCAAATCTCTAAATCTCCAAATCTCCAAATCTCCAAATCTCTAAATCTCTAAATCTCCAAATCTCCAAATCTCCAAATCTCCAAATCTCCAAATCTCCAAATCTCTAAATCTCTAAATCTCCAAATCTCCAAATCTCCAAATCTCCAAATCTCAAAATCTCCAAATCTCCAAATCTCTAAATCTCTAAATCTCCAAATCTCCAAATCTCCAAATCTCTAAATCTCCAAATCTCCAAATCTCCAAATCTCTAAATCTCTAAATCTCCAAATCTCTTTCCCATTTTTTAAATCTTTCTCGCTCTCTCTCTTAATGTTACTCAATTTATGTAAAAACTTCCTCTCTATCCATTTTACCAATCTCTTTTCTCACCCTCTCTATCTCTTAATTTATCTCAATCTCTCTGTCTCCCTAATTTTCTATCGCTCATTCTCTTAGTTTCACACAATGTCCCCCAAACTCTCTCCCCATCACTCTCTTTCTCTCTACTCTCTTAATTTTTCTCAATCACTTTGTCACTGTCTCTCTCTCTCTCTCTCTCTCTCTCTCTCTCTCTCTCTCTCTCTTTGTGAGTGTCTGTGTCTTCTCTATGTCACACTCTCTCTATAAATCTCTCTACCCCCCTCTCTCTCTCTCACGCGCGCTCTCTGTCTATTACTCTCGGTCTATTAGTCTCTGTCTGTTAGTCTCTGTCTATTAGTCTCTGTCTGTTAGTCTCTGTCTATTATTCTCTGTCTATTAGTCTCTGTCTATTAGTCTCTGTCTGTTAGTCTCTGTCTATTAGTCTCTGTCTTTAGTCTCTGTCTATTAGTCTCTGTCTTTAGTCTCTGTCTATTAGTCTCTGTCTATTAGTCTCTATTAGTCTCTGTCTATTAGTCTCTGTCTATTAGTCTCTGTTTGTTTGTCGGTCACATAATAGGAGATGGCACAAAAAATAATATAAGAGATGTATATATATGATGTACTGGTGTATAAGTTGTACCAGTGTATAATTTGTACCGAAAGTTTGCTCAAAGGTTAAACGAGCCAAGAGATTAATGACCACACCTCAATGAGTTTTTGCACCCACATGTATTTAAGTAACTTGACTCAAGTGGGCTTGGTTTAGCTATTTGTTATAGACTGACCTCTTAGAGCTCATGTTTCTCTTGGAGCCCTAAAAGAGTCCCCATATCTTTTAGAGCCCATATTGCTCTTAGAGCCCATATTATTTCTCTGGGTTCCCGACATCGTTAAGAGCACATTTCGTTGAATTAAGATAACCTGATGTAAATTTTACGGTCAATAAAATTACATTTTTGTAATTCCCGACATTCTGCAACAAGTGAACTTCGAAGAATAGTTTGGAGAACACGAGCTACCTGATTACAGAGTTTGGTTCCTATACAATCTAAATATTGCGCTTATCCAAAAGGATGTCCTTAAAATTGTTCTTTAGCCCTTCACAGTGTTCCCCAAACTTTGTTCGAGTAACGGCGCCCCCAGCAACATCCAGGTTTTCCCATTGCGCCCCCCTCCCCTTAAAAAGCGCACTACAAAATAAAGAATTTAAAACATTTTTTTCCCACTGAAGTTATTTATTTATTCCGTTTACACTAGATGTCCTTCCCACTTTTCGCAAACACCTCCTCCCAGGCGTGATTCGTCATTTTGTTATGGCGCTTTACCATCCACTAGGCCAGTGGTTCTCAACCTTCCTAATGCCACGACCCTTTAATGCAGTTCCTCGTGTTCAGGTGACCCCAACCATAAAATTATTTTCGTTGCTACTTCATAAATATGTGTTCTCCGGTGGTCTCAGGCGACCCCTTTGAAAGCGTAGTTCAACTCCAAAGTTGTCGCGACTCACAGGCTGAGAACCGCTGCATTAGAAGAAGAATTCCCGCTGAAAGTATTCTTAAACTATTCTTTTACCTGAGAGAGAATCCAGACTTCTCTGTCTGCTTTCTAAAATTCGATTTCTTGCGGCCATTTGAACACAACCCAATTCCTCGGGTGTACGTACCCAGGTTGTGTTCAAATCAAAATAGGCACTGCTGTCTGTGGTAGGTATGCACAGACCACCTTCATAAAATTAGAGGAACACACCGTATACTAAATGAGAAACCACACAAATGCCGACCACCACTACAACAAGATGACAAGAATGCAAAAGAGGCCATCCACCAAACGGAAGGTAACGAAGAGGCCATCCACCAAACGGAAGGTAACGAAGTACTGGCCAACTCATTAAACAAACAAACAAAAAAAAAAAGCCCCAATGCTTTATACTACTTGAAAAAATTGACCACGTCTTGATGACAATGGGAAATTCGGGATTGTTACAGTTTGTCGTTAACATGCAAGTCAGTGTGGACATGAGGTCGTGCCACATGAGGTCGTGCCACAACAGCACGTGACCACTGCGACGTCGCGCCAATTAGTAAAAAGCGTATGCTGTAACGTGGTGAAACATGTCTCACCTTGCGGTAACGTGGTGAAACATGTCTCACCTTGCGGTAACGTAGTGAAACATGTCTCACCTTGCGGTAACGTGGTGAAACATGTCTCACCTTGCGGTAACGTGGTGAAACATGTCTCACCTTGCGGTAACGTAGTGAAACATGTCTCACCTTGCGGTAACGTAGTGAAACATGTCTCACCTTGCGGTAACGTGGTGAAACATGTCTCACCTTGCGGTAACGTAGTGAAACATGTCTCACCTTGCGGTAACGTGGTGAAACATGTCTCACCTTGCGGTAACGTAGTGAAACATGTCTCACCTTGCGGTAACGTGGTGAAACATGTCTCACCTTGCGGTAACGTAGTGAAACATGTCTCACCTTGCGGTAACGTGGTGAAACATGTCTCACCTTGCGGTAACGTAGTGAAACATGTCTCACCTTGCGGTAACGTGGTGAAACATGTCTCACCTTGCGGTAACGTAGTGAAACATGTCTCACCTTGCGGTAACGTGGTGAAACATGTCTCACCTTGCGGTAACGTAGTGAAACATGTCTCACCTTGCGGTAACGTGGTGAAACATGTCTCACCTTGCGGTAACGTAGTGAAACATGTCTCACCTTGCGGTAACGTGGTGAAACATGTCTCACCTTGCGGTAACGTAGTGAAACATGTCTCACCTTGCGGTAACGTGGTGAAACATGTCTCACCTTGCGGTAACGTAGTGAAACATGTCTCACCTTGCGGTAACGTGGTGAAACATGTCTCACCTTGCGGTAACGTAGTGAAACATGTCTCACCTTGCGGTAACGTGGTGAAACATGTCTCACCTTGCGGTAACGTAGTGAAACATGTCTCACCTTGCGGTAACGTGGTGAAACATGTCTCACCTTGCGGTAACGTAGTGAAACATGTCTCACCTTGCGGTAACGTGGTGAAACATGTCTCACCTTGCGGTAACGTAGTGAAACATGTCTCACCTTGCGGTAACGTGGTGAAACATGTCTCACCTTGCGGTAACGTAGTGAAACATGTCTCACCTTGCGGTAACGTGGTGAAACATGTCTCACCTTGCGGTAACGTAGTGAAACATGTCTCACCTTGCGGTAACGTGGTGAAACATGTCTCACCTTGCGGTAACGTAGTGAAACATGTCTCACATTGCGGTAACGTGGTGAAACATGTCTCACATTGCGGTAACGTGGTGAAACATGTCTCACCTTGCGGTAACGTGGTGAAACATGTCTCACCTTGCGGTAACGTAGTGAAACATGTCTCACATTGCGGTAACGTGGTGAAACATGTCTCACCTTGCGGTAACGTAGTGAAACATGTCTCACCTTGCGGTAACGTGGTGAAACATGTCTCACCTTGCGGTAACGTAGTGAAACATGTCTCACATTGCGGTAACGTGGTGAAACATGTCTCACATTGCGGTAACGTAGTGAAACATGTCTCACCTTGCGGTAACGTGGTGAAACATGTCTCACATTGCGGTAACGTAGTGAAACATGTCTCACCTTGCGGTAACGTGGTGAAACATGTCTCACCTTGCGGTAACGTGGTGAAACATGTCTCACCTTGCGGTAACGTGGTGAAACATGTCTCACATTGCGGTAACGTAGTGAAACATGTCTCACCTTGCGGTAACGTAGTGAAACATGTCTCACCTTGTTATAAATAATCCTACTTCCTACGGTATTCTTATTATTTTGAGCGTGCACTACTTCAATGAAGAAAGTAGAATGCATGGAACCTACTATTTGTAAAATGTTACTACGAGTTGTATTAAGTCTAAGAAGTTATTTTGTGAATTGGTTTTCCCACAATTCACCGGGGTGTGTCGATTTAATAGGGGAATAGAAGAATGTTATTAGCGACTAATACGATGGCTTGATATTCATTCATATTAAGTGTCCTTCTTTTCATGCGATCTGGCAGCCATCCTGCTTTCGCTCAAAGTTCATCAACTACAAAAAACAATTCCTAATTGGTCCAATTGGGGCCCACCGTAATTTGAGAGATGACCAGTCGTAGCAGATGTGGTCAGTTTGAGAGAGGGCCATGTACCCTTTGTAGCAGATGTGGTCAGTTTGAGAGAGGGCCATGTACCCTTCGTAGCAGATGTGGCCAGTTTGAGAGAGGGCCATGTACCCTTCGTAGCAGATGTGGTCAGTTTGAGAGAGGGCCATGTACCCTTCGTAGCAGATGTGGTCAGTTTGAGAGAGGGCCATGTTATACCAGTCACAACAGTCGTGGTCATAGGTATGTTGTTAAGCTTTGATCAGCCCAGATGTCGTCACAGGTGTGTTAAGTCAAAAG